ATTTATCAGCCATAAGTACCCATTTTTTAATATCAGAGCTTCCAAATGAGGCAAATGTTCATAACTGAAATGAGAAATCCACAGCAACATGTAATTTGAGGAGATTTTACTTCCTTGCTTTCATTATTCTTTATTTAGTTATTTTTGTTTTATAGACAGTTCAAGGATGACTCCTTAGTGCTGAGATTAAAGGTGTGTGCCCCACGCCTGCCTCAATTCCTCACTTTCAATAATGGAAAATACAACCAGATATCAGTAAGGAAACAGGGCTCAACCTCTACCGTAGACCATTCAGAACCCAAGCAATGCACCAAACAATGCAAATATATATTATTTTCTAAGTGTACATAGAATATTTCCCAGGATAGATCTTGCTAAAGTATGCAATGCTTAAATAAAATTCACCCTACTACAATATAAATTTTTTTCTCCAGTGAAAAGGGACTACACCAGAAATTAGTAAACAGAAAGAAAATAGAGAAAGCCACAAGAATATCGAAATTAAACATCATTTAAAAAAAAAACAACCTATCATTTCTGTTACTCGGCAGCTTTATTGGAAGTGCACTGGTTTGTATCAAAATGACAAGCCCATCCAAGAACCTATAGGTATATCATACACAATGAATGGTCCAGTCTATACTGTTTGCTCTCAGGGTCTGTGGAAGAGTTTAACACTAGCTGAGGATTCTAATCTGAGGAATATTCAATGAATCTAAGCACACTGAGTTCTTTAGTCCATTCATTTTATTCTAAGTCAATCCTATCTAAACAGTTCCTTTTCTGTTCTCATACTTAGCTCCTCTCGGTCCCTCCTGGTCTCAGTCCCTTCTGCTCTTCTCTCATTATTCTATCTAGTTCTTTCCATCTCTATCCTCATCTTTGTTCTTCTCCATCCATCCTCCCAGTGCTCTCAGAGAACCAGTATATATAAACATGCAGTAATTCTTTGGCAAATAGTTGGAGCCTGGAAGTTTTCAGGGTGGCAGAGAGAGGTGATAAGGACCCCCACCTAAAGTAATAATTGTTGGCTTCCACTTACAACCCCAAAGGGGAGTGACTAAAGGGGAGTTCTCTGGTAGGGTCAACTAAAGGCTAAGATCAATTTATGTGTTAAAATTATAATCGAGAAAGGGCTAGGTAGAATGGTAGGGGTCAATAAGTCACAAGAAAGTCAACTGTCTTTGGCGCTGCTTTTCCCAATCATCCTGGCTGCAGCTGCTTTCTGATCTGAAGGGGGGACATGCTAGTTGGCTAAGTAACCAATGTCACAGCATGTAGCATTTGGTTAGTAAAAGCACTTTTTGTTTTTGTTTTTGTTTTTTCGAGACAGGGTTTCTCTGTGTAGCTTTGCACCTTTCCTGGAACTCACTTGGTAGCCCAGGCTCGAATTCACAAAGATTCTCCTGCCTCTGCCTCCAGAGTGCTGGGATTAAAGGCATGCACCACCACCACCTGGCTGTAAAAGCACTTTTGCTCAGAGTAATTGATGAGGAGAAAATCTAGGAATAGCGCCTAGCTGAGAAGGAATTAAAACTTAGTTTGCACAGGAAAGAAGCTTGGTACCTATCACCTGCCTGGCCTTGACAGCAATCTCTTTGGGTCAGTTGGAAGTAACTACCTTAACTCAGTAACTAGCAATTGGCTAAAACATCTTCCCAAGAACATGAGTAGTAAATCTCTTAAGTTAGGGTCTTGTATAAATAACTCAGAGTAAAGGTAAGGAGTTGAGGATTTAATTGTTAGTGGTTCTTTTCTCTATCTGTGGGTGAGATGAGCTAATGTTTATCTATGCACAGTTTTGTCCTTGGAAAAAGGTACCTTTGCTAAAATACTTTATGTCTGGAGAATGTCCCTGGCCAGATGTATGATAAAGAAAAATAAACACAGCTGGGGACAGTTGTCCAATCACCCCAAATGTATAGGGAAAGTTGTACCCAAGATTGAGATGCAATCATGAGATTACATGTACACATAACATGGAGATGCACGGTAAATGGGGAGAATCATAGCTCTTATTGCACAAGAAGTTTACAACGAGAGACTTCCAGTTCACTCAAAAGGCAGTAATTCCATAACGCCTTGTGCAACGGTTTCCTCTATCAGAATCCTTAGTTCTGATAGCTTGACCTTCTGAACTCTAGTTGTCAGTGCTGTATACTTTCATGGACTTTTGCTACCAGCGGCTTTCAATATAGGAACTGGTACTGCCTGGCACTGGTGAGGACAAGGGGCTATGGCTCAGAGGAAGAGCATTTGAGCAGCACTCATGGGGATCTGGAAGGAGAGGAAAGGAAAGGCCTTTCTTTATCAAGCAGTATATTAAGAAATGACGTCCTGTGAGTTTATTATTTGCATTTGTAAGTAGCTTTTATTTTTTATATCTTTTTTTATTTAAAACCATTTCAATTGATTCATTGATTTTTTTTTTTTTTTTGAGCCGCATTTTCTCTGTGCAGCACTGGCTGTTCTGGAACTCACTCTGTAGATCAGGCTGACCTCCAACTAAGAGATCCTTCTACCTCTGCTTCCTGGGTGCTGGGATTAAAGATGTGCACCATCCTCCCTTGGCTGAAAACCATTTTCAACTATACATATATTTTGATCATATTCTTCCCCTCCCCCAAGTTTGTTCAGATCCTCTCCTTCCTGCCCACCCAAAATTAAGTTCTTTTTCAAAAACAAGCCAAAATGCCAATACAAGTACAAATGCCAAAAACTTAGAAAACAAAATACAACATCACCCAAAAAGGAAAAACAAAAACAAAAAAAACTAAAAAAACACATTTTCCTCTCACTCCTTCCAAATCTGCCCACACCACCTCCGAACTTTGTGTCTTTTTAAAAAAATTTATTTTATGGACTGGAGATATGGCTCAGTGATTAGGAGTATTGTCTGCTCTTCCAGAGGACCTGTGTTCAATTCTCAGCACCTACATGGTGGCTCACAACTGTCTATAACTCCAGTTCTAGGGGATTAGATGCCTCCTTTGCCTTCTGGTAGCATTGTATACACATGATGGACATGGCTATGTGCAGGAAAACACCCATAAATAGATGATAAATGTAAATACTAGAGATGAATACCATAACAAAATATCTTTAAAGAAAGAAAAACTTAGTACCGTAGACACTGAATAAGGCATCTTCACGATGGTTCCTGAGGTTTGGGGGCAGGGAATATGACATGTTTGCCCCATTTGTGGAATCATGGTTGTCAATCTGAGACATAATTCAACTTTACCTTTCAATGGAGGCAGAGGGTTCAGCTAGAAGTTATTCTTCTGACAGAGGGTAAGACACCAAAATTTTGCTGGGCGTCTGTAAATATAACTGTGTCTCATCATCAGAGAAGGTGATGGTGGCTTTCAGTTTATGCAAAAGGTCTTGACCCAATCAATTCTCTGTTGAACACCTTTGAGCTAGCTGCAGCAACTGGGACCTACTTACACTTTAATTGTTTGTGTAACTCTTATAATTTCTTTTCTAATATCTGGGCCCAACTGGGTGACAAAGGGAATCATTTTAGCAGTTGTCTTTATAAATTACATATTGAAAATTGTTGAAAGTCTCCTTGGTCATGCCGGACAGAGAAGAAAATCCATTCTGTACAGGCTGTGTTGTCTGCCAGAGATTGCCTACCCCCACGTGGGGTGGTTTTCCATTTTTGTTTTCATCAGAGAATGACGGGTTTTGAGTTTTCAATCTTATGGACCATTTGTTGACAAGAAGACATAAATCATGAATGAGAAAGGAGTGGAACTTTCTCTTTTCCTTTGGGTTCAGCTCAGGGGAACTTTTCCCCTCCCCCAGGGCTGCTTAGAGTAGACATGGAGTGGAGGGAATGCTCACCTGGGAACTGTTTCCCCCTCCCTGTGTGCAGTAACTTAGATGGCAGAGGTTCCTGAATGAGAAGCCTGGCCCCTCCTCACCTCCACACAGAGACCAACCCTGACCATGAGCAGGAGTCAAGCAATGAACCAAGGAAGTGCTCCCACTCAGGGAGGACAAGGAGGGTTCTTGTTTCTGTTGTTTTGTTTTTATCTCTGGGTAACTTGGCAGAACCAAATGATTCGGGTCCTCAACAGAGGGGGACAGGTCTTAATCCAGGGGATTTTCATATCAGAGAAAGCCACTGGTATTACAGAGAACCAGAACTGACAGAAACAGACTCACACACACACACACACACACACACACACACACACACACACACACACACACACACACA